TGATTTATCTCAGGTACTTGTTATAGCGATGGAAAGCTAACACACCAACCCTGGTTTGCTTAATTCCAAGGTGGATGCCCTGTCCTTATGAGGTGTGATCTACACTAGAATGCTGCTGCTAAATGCCATCCAATGGAAATCCAGGCTCATAAAAAATTACAGTATCTTAATCCGCATCACTCACTGGATCTGTCTCCATGCAACTTCTGGCTCTTCCCCAAAGCCAAACTGACCATGAAAGGCGAACATTTTGAAATGATTCAGGACCTGAAGGCAGCCACACAGGACAACTGAGACACCCGTGAAAGAAGATTTTCAGAACTGCTTCAGAAAGTAGCAAGATGACGGGATAACTACATTTGAAGTGAGGGGAAGTATTTTGAAGGAGATTAATGGCAATATATTTTTATTATAAAATTTTAAAAATGTAAACATTCACTGTACATTTTGATCACACCTCAAAAAAAGTTGCTCCCCCACCCTTGTGCGCTGCCCTGGTACCAGGATAGATGAGGTCCAAGGGCACAATGACCTCAGGGGAGATCTGAGAAGGGCACCTGGGCACCTGAAAAGTCAGAGCTGGGTCTCACACTTCCCAAGTTCTATGGTAACAGGCTAGTTTTGTGTCTCTGGGCACGGTAAAGGAGCTCTTTAAAACACTTAGGCAGGCTTTTGTCACTTGGCTTAACTGTGTACATTGCAACTACTTTAATTGGTTTCATGTCTGGAATAAGGGACTGAAATGGAAGTGTGACTCGGGGGAGCTGTCCTGGCACACGGATGACTTGTCATATTTCTCTTTTAATCTGCTGGTCTTTTCTTAAGGTGAGGGAGGTAATCTAATTATCTTTTGAAGACAAGCTCATGCTGCAATATGCCAATTTGGGCTGTTCTCAGAATACAGCCCCAAGAGTGGGTGGAGAGAAATGCGGTGGGGATGTGGGGTGTACGGGAGTCCTTCCCTGCTTGGAAGCAGGCGAGTGTTTCCCCACAAGTCCTGAGAGCAGCGTAAATGGGTGTGGGCAACAGAAGGGATTCAAGGGATACCCTGGGCTGTGACTGCATCAGTCCCTTATGTTCTCTGAGCCTAGTTCCCGCACCTACAAAGTGAAATTAATTCTATCTTGTAGTTGCAGTGAGGGCTGAGTGAGACCATGTGGATGGAGCCCATCCAGCCTGGGCTTGCTGTGTGATGGGTATTCAATAACCAATCTGCATTATTATCAGGGTCTCTCTCAGGATACCACATGCTGAGTGGGGTTAATCCTTTCAAGAGCTGACCCAACCTTCGCTTGGGTTGAGAAGGGATAGGGATGACACACCCCGTGCTGCTGATCACAGGATGAGGAATTATCTTACAACTTTCCTATGCACACAGTAGGTTCTGGAAGTTGCCTCTTCCCCAGACTGAGCTGATTCATCTTGCAAGAGGTCCTGATGGGGAAGCCACTGTGGCTTCTTGGGCTATGCAGAGCTTTGCTGGCTGCGGTGGGGAGCTGTAACCCTGGGAGCACTCTGAGCTGGAACTGCATTGCCTTTCTTCCAAAGAGCAGGGCTCGGAAGTAGAGCTGGGTGCTGGACAACTTATGCTTCTTCTTTTTATTCTCTGAACAAATCTATGATGCAACCCTGATCATAGTAAAAACTGTATATTCAGAGGAATATTCTTCTATTTACCTATCACTCATCAATATTTATCAGTGCCATCCAGCTATCATCCATTAATATCTGAATCTGGCTTATGGCATGTAATACAATGGTCTCCAGTTGTAACCACTTTCCTGCAAATGACATGGTTTAGTTCTTTTTTTATGGCAGAATAACGTACATTTGTTTTTTATCCACTCATCCAAAAGCAGGCATGTAGGCTGAATCCACAGCTTGGCTACTGTGGACTGATAAACTTGCTATGCAGATATCCTTAGAATATACTTACTTTAACTCCTTTGGCTGTATACTGAGGAGGGTACAGCCAGATCACATGGTAGTTCTTTGCAGTTTTTTGGAGGAAACTCCACACTGCCTTCCATAGCAGCTGGGCTACTTACATTCCCAGTGTATAAGGATTCCCTTTTCAGCAGATCTGCACAGCATTTATTGTTTTTGTATTTTTTTAAGCTACATATTCTGCTGTGGTAAGATGTAGTTTTGATTTGCTTTTGATGGCTGAAGATGTTGAACATCTTTTTCATTTAATTATTAGTTCTCTGTACTTCTTTGGAGAAGTGTCTGTTCAATACATTTGCCCACTTATTGATTGTTATTCATTTTTTGGTGTTGATTCTTGAGTTCTTTATGTATTCTGGATTTTAATCCTCTTTCAGATGAGTAGCTGGCAAAGACTTCCTCCCATTCTATAAGGGTTGTCTCCACTCTATTAATGGTTTCCTTTGCTGTGCAGAACTTTCTAATTTCATGCCATCTCATCTGTGTATTTTTGCTATTATTTCCTGAACTACTGGAGTCCCATTTAAGAAGTCATTATCTGTGCCTCTAAGAAAGTTTTAGGTCTTACTATCTGTATCCATCTAGTATCTATCAATATTTATTCATTTATCATCTAATGATATCTATTTCTATCATCTAGCTATTGATATCTATTTATCAAACAGCTATTGATATCATCTATTTATACCTATCTATTAATATCTATACCCTCATTACCTGTACAGAAGCAAGACTAGTTTCCACTGTCCTTTACCTTGCTTTTCTACTTAATATACTGCCTACAGACCACTTTTGGTTTCAGTGGATGTGCAGCAGCCTTTTCTAATACAGTTGCATAATATTCTCTCCTCCTGGGCCACTATAGGTTCTTTAATCAGTTCACATTCAATGGGCTTTCAGGTTGTCTCAAATACTCATAGTTTGCTGTTACAAATTATCTTGCGATGGAAATGTTTTTGCTATTACAAGTTATCTTGTGATGGAAATATGTTTTCATGGATCTCGAAACCCTCTGGGAGAATGCGGGGTAAATTCTTTATGGTGGAATTATTGGCTCACGGGACATGTGCATTTTCAGTGATGATCCATATTGTCCACAGCTTTCTGAAAAGAATGTCCCTGTTTTTACGCCCACCCGAATCACTCTCAGGCCAAACACTCACCTTATCATTTAAACACAGTGCATTTCTTGTCTGCCAGCCTGCACGGGCGGAATCTTGATGAGGATAAAACCCTTCAGTGCAGTAGCACTGTCAGTTTATGTGACTTTTACAGCTATTCCTGCTCATATCTTTCACATCTCTGTGTTTTCGTTTATGCTTTGTTTATATCACCAAGCACAAGCAGTCTTGTATCTTGTTTCTGTCACAGTTTTTATTCACTTTCTTGGCATTTGTCTCAGGGCTCTATTAGACATTTCTGGTCCTGTTTCCTAAAGTTTCTATCACCTGCATTTTAGGGACTTGGTGGCATTCAGAAAATGATTAGAATGTGAACCAATGGCACCGAGGGAGGACCCTGAAGGTCCCGAGGGCACTCACAATGGCCGCTCTCTCCTCATTTCTGCTTGAAAATTCTGGCAATGACCTGCCCCTTCCCACTCACACGTGTGCTGATGAGCAGGGGCTCATTGCTCTGTGAACGAGCTTGAGGATTCTGTAAGTGCTGCCCTGAGAGGCCCAGGGTGAGCTGCAGGGACTTGGCTTCTTTGCACTTCTAAAACACCAGGTCTAGCTTCAAATGCTCACTTTTTTTTCCCAACCAACCTGGGGAATTCTTTGCTTTGTAGCAGCACTCCAACTCAGGACCTCACTCTTGCCAGATAGGCATTGTGGCCCTGAGCTACATCCCTGGTCTCCAACCTAGGGATTCTGTAGCACCTGACCAAAATTACTCTAAGGTTCACCATATGAAAGCTGAACCAGAAGACAAGGCAGCAGGAAAGCTCAGCTGAGTGGTAAATCACAAAGATAATTAAAAGGAAAAAAAAAAGGCTGGGCATGGTGGTGCATTTCTATAATCCGAATACTGGGGAGGTTGAAGTAGGAAGATAGCCTTGAGTTCAAGGGCAGCCTGGGCTATACAGTGAGTTTAAGGCCACCCTGGAATACCTATCAAGACCATCTCAAAAAGCAAAACAAACGAACAAAAATGATGAAAGAAAAAAAAAGGTATCTTTCAGGAAGTCAAGTGAAATAACAGGCTTTTGTCTCACAGAGTGGGGCAAACTCCTCCTGCTGTGCCATGGACTGTAAGTTGCATTCTATGGCAAACAACAGTGGTAAAATTAGTTATGTACTGTGATTTGTGTTTTAATATTTTTCCTCACAGAGTCTTGGTGGGATAAGGATGCCAGGGCTGATCACTTTCGCAGGGAAATGGGAGTAATACTTCGGGTGGCTGACACCATGATTCTAATTCAGAAGGATAAAATCTGACCTAATGTGACCTTACGTGATGTCACCTGGCCAGACACTGAGCTAGATGCTAGAAATAGGAAAAATGATCCTATTCTACATCTTTCTCTTTTATCAAAATACTATTTGTAAGCCTAAATAAGACATTTGATACACATATGATGGTAACTAGAGAATCCACCAACCGTATCTTTGAATGATAAAATGCACTTTAGGACAGAAATAAATGTCAGATGCGGCCACTCCTTTTAGTACTCAGAAGTGAGACATGAGTGTGGGTCTGAAATTGGTTGTTGATAAGGAGAGATTGTGCCCCCACCCAGGGGACACTTCGTAAGTCTAGACATATTTTTGAGGAAGGAAACTACTCACTGATCCTGCTAAACATCGACAATGTCCAGGTCCTGAAAAACCCACACACCAGCAACAAATAATTATCTGACCCCAAATGCCAGTAGTGCCAAGTGTGGGAAACCAACAACAAGCAGCTTCCGTGTCAGCTACACTCAGTCCTGGTGATCTGCTGTCCCAGATCTCACTGGTTTTGACTCTAGAGAGCTCTACGGCTTTATAGATTTCAAGATTGTTTTGAATAAATCAGGATCAAAGAAAAAGACATGACAATAATCACTTTGATTTTTTTTTAGAAAAAGAAAACTGTTTATTACGATATTCTGGGGTAGAGATGGCCAAAGGGACTGCATACACTCTGTAGTGCTTGAGCAACGCGCTAACAGAAAATTCAAACATCACAAAACCACTTCCAAAGTCCAGACAGCAAAACTTGTACTTCTACATGTAGGTGTTCTTCTGTGGATGTTGGCAAGAAAGCATGTTGCAAACAGCTGTGTGAGGAAGAGGTGCAGGAATAACCCTGGGAAAACACAAGCGCGCGTCCTTCGGAAACCAGATACACAGACGTGAGAAAAATGCACCGTCCTCCGCGGGCGAAGACCCCGGAACACAATGGAGCACGCAGATCCGGGGGAAACGCCTCTCCCAATGGATGCTCCTCCACAAAGCTCCTTCTGCCCTCTCAGCTACAGCTCTGAGTTGCTTGGGTCTCTGGACCTCTTACCCAGGGCAGAATTCTAAACTACCCCCCAAATCAGAAGATTTCTTTCATTTCACCTGTATTGGTAACCTCATGAAATAGAAAGGCAGCTGAGACATACCCTCGAGTTAAGAGTAAAAAAATGCAACGCCTTCCAGAAGTACAAAAAAAAAAATCTTCCATCCTAAATCTCACACAGCTTCTCAGTGGGAGTTGGATTAAACAGAGAAAATAATTTCAATATCAAGGGATAATACACATAAGATGGGAAAACTCTTTCAAGTGGGCTCCATGGTGAGAAGTGTTTCCCCACTCCCTTGGGGGATGGAAGGGAGAAGAAGAGAAAAAACAGATAATTAGGAGAACTGTAAGGCCCTGGATTTCAGGTTTCTGAAACCATCTCTTCAATCCTCTCAGGACAATCAGCTATTTCTGATTCCAGAAGAGCGCATCAGAAGTGCCTGATTACAGGAAGACCACAGCCAAATAAGACAGGCCAGTCTGTGATCCGGTTCTGGGATTTCCACTCTCTTTTTCCACTCATATTTCAGAAATGCCTTCGGCTAAAGTGAAACAGTAAGAGCCCAAATTCCAGATCGAGCACACTTTGTACACCAGGAAGATAATGCTGGATCATACAGCCCTGTGGGAGAGGGTGTAGAGAGGACATGGAAGAAAGGGTGGAAGGAAGGACGGAAGGAAGGAAGGAAGAAAGGAAGGAAGGAAGGAAGGAAGGAAGGAAGGAAGGAAGGAAGGGAGTGGGGAACAGCAGAGGGGAAGCGGGGCTTTGTTGACTGAGCCTTACATGCTAGTGTGCTGGAAGGCCCAGACCTTCACCCAGTCCTGCAATCATCACCTTGACCTGGCCCTCCGGACCAAACTCTACTGACTTCTAAAGTCCTTGGGGTTTATAAACTGGGCCGTCTACTGGATATTTGTAATTCTTCATCCTCATTCTATGCTATGTCTGGTGGGCACTGGGGGTCACTGCACATTCCAAGCTTTGCTCTTTTGAATGAATCCTGCTGCGTGCTCCTCTCAGCTACAGCAGTTCCAGTGTCTCAGTCCCAACTGCACCATGGCTGCTCCCTGACTCCAGAACAGTTCCCCAGGTTCCCCTGTGAGGCCAAGGTCACAGCCCGCTAGTGTCTCGAGAAGCGATGCTTGCGCTCTTCACTTGGGTTGCTGCAATGGATGCTTAGCATTAGGCTGAAGGAAACTGGATTTGCCTTCTCCGTTGTGGGGGAACTGGGTTTGCTCTTGTACTCACGGGGCCTGGAATTTAACTCCAGACTGGGTCAGAAAAACGGTTCATAGACTCTTTATATAAAAAAAAAGGATGCCAAACTGAAGGATTTTGTCAACCTGGAAAGATAAGTGTTTCCCAATTTTGGGGAAACTGGCGTCAAAGGACTCAATGGTCTCACATTACTTGTGGGAAAGCTTCAGCTGTAAGTGATGGCTCATCCAGCCAGAGTAATTCTTCAACATAAGTGCTGAATTGATCAGCATTTGACTCTCTTTTCAGGACACTAACGGAGAGACTATCATCCCTGGGAGTGATCTGGGACTCACGAAGTGGTCCAGCTTTCTTACCTGCGTCCTGTGCTTGAGGCAGATTAAAATCTCTGCAGACTCACTGGTCTGGCAAACGTGGAGAGCTGCTGGGACTGGCTGGTCGTGCTCGGGTCCTCAGGGACAAGTGCTAGCTTTTTGTCTCTCGGCAGGAAGCACAGCGAGCAGATTTACAGTTGCTGTGATCTGAGCACTCCTTAGACCTTTTTCCCCAGCTCACCCTCCACATCTCAGGGGGACAAATTCAGTGTCAATAAAGCTCAGTGACAGCACAACTACACAACTGGGCCAGATTCCATCACTGTTGGAGAGAATGAAGTCTTTTGATGTGCCGGTGATTTCACACAACTAGCATTTCTCAAACGCCTGCTATGCGCATGCTGTCTGCTAGGGAAGGCTGGTGAGCAGCAAGAGATGTCAGGACCAAGGAGGAAGCTGACAGTGTCTGGGCAGCCTCCTGACACCCTCCGCAACACAAAAATGGGGCCTGGTAAGAAAGCCCAGCCTGTAAGGAAGAGAAGGAAATCAGAGAAAACCTTCCATTGATGCGGGTGCTGGGCTTGGCAACCGCCCTCGAGCAAAAATAAACTCCCCATGGCAGTGGGACAGGATGCTGATATTGGCACCTGCCAGAGGCAAACAGCCGAAGTCGCAGCTGCGCTGGTCAAATGAGTTTGGAGACCTTAGGGGGCTGAGGCCTCAGTGACTATAACAGGCTGCGGTGCTCTGCAGTCAGTTTACTCAAATCGGGTCTGTGTGCCTTCCCCGCCTCTCTGGGCTGGGTCTCAGAGCCATCAGAAGCGCAGGTGGCTCATCCCGCTGAGCAACCACCCCAAGCTGCCTCTGGAAAGAGGAGAAGCTCATCTGAGAACACAGGGAGAGACAAAGAGTTTCCTGGGGAGGACGCAGCAGGCTAAAGCCCAACGCAAGGAAGGAAGAGCTCGGGGCACAGGTAGGGGGTGACCTTCTGCTGTGAGTATTAGTGTCATCTTTGGATCATCTGGCTCCTGAGAGAGACTTCTTTAATGAAGTGGGCATCTGGTGGAACAAAAATGACCTTGGCTAGTGCTAAACTTATAGCAGTTAGGATGAAGAATGGGTAGGAAGGGACCCTGCTAAATACTTAGGAGTAAAGAACAAGGGTGACGGTAGAGATTCCATAACCAATACAAAAGGGAGCCGAACCAGTCAATATGGCAAGACAGCTATCCTGGAGCAAAAAAAAAACCATGCTACAGAATACATACTGGGGTTTGCAAAGCCCACAGACTTAAGGCCTCTGCAGTGAGAATATTAATCAAAGGTACAATTCTCAAGACGAATCCTAGACAGTAAACTTAAAACAAATGGTCACTCAAGAAGAAAAGCTGTGTCAGAGTCAAGAGGTGTCAAATATATACATGGGATTTCTGTCTCAGGATAAGAGAAAAACGTAGCTTCTAAGGGTGTCCAACCAAATCCCCAGCCATTTCACTTTCGAATTTCTAAAAAGAAATTCCTTCTCTGTCATCCATAAATTACCAGTAGCTCTGGCTGCCTTGCTGTAAAGGAACCACTGCCTATTTCAAGGAACTCTGGATGCTTTGTTAGGTGACGGCTCCTGTCCTGCTCACCAGGAGACATGAGAAGACAGCAAGACCCATTGGCCTATGGTACATGGCCTCTTGTTGCACCTTGACTTGGCTTTGTCACTCCAAACTCTCCAAGCTCAGCGCAGATGGGCCTTCTGCTGCCATGGTGCCCGGGCCAATGGCAATTCACTCCCATCTGTTGCCACAGCCTCTAGTGTTTGGCACAAAGATGGGCTTCCCATGGTCTCATTTGCTTCAGCGAAGGGGAGAAGCAAAGGCAACAGAGACCGTGGAGGTATGACTCCACGAGATCAGGAACAGCACTGGAAGAGAATTAGCTAGTATGAACTCATTCAAGTGGCCCTTTTCTGGTCTACAGTTTATTGACTCAAATAAGTCACATGTGTCTAACTACATGAATGAAAACTTATTTTCCAAAAGACAGCTCCTCGGAGGCCACTATTTTGTAGATAATAACTGCAATATATTTATGCTGGATTCTAAGAAAAGAATTTGCTAATTATGTAAACTCCCGCTGCTCTTACCTCCCTTTTCCCAAGCACTTTACACTGACTTAAAACTGCTTCCACTTTCCCACTTTCCTAATTCACCAGATGGAGTGTTTGGGAGTGTCTGACTGAAAGACAAAGAGAGATGTACGAAACGGGATGCAGGTGCAGGAGCCCCAGCCTCAGAGCTTGCGCAAGACAGAAATCGTCCCGGGACAGACCAAACTGAAGGCCACAGCAGCCCCGGAGAAGCCCTGGCTGATACTGGATAAACTTGACGCCGTCACTTGAACTTGAAGCCCAGACACTTTTTATTATAAGATAAAGAGTTGTTTAAAAAAAAAAATAAAATAGAAACCCCACTCTTAATGCTCTAGATACAGTTTGCTAATATACTTAAAAAATAACCTATGTCATTTTCAACTTCTATTTTTTTCTTTTAGAGGGCTGAAAAAAAATACATATGGAAAAATAAATATTCAGCTGACATTCTGAATTCCCTCTCTATATTGTGCAGTTCTTCCTTCATGTGCTCTGCTCAAAAGATCCTCAACTAGATATCGGTCAGAGATAGTCAACATCAAAGTGAAATGAATGTGCTTCTAATCATTGTGGCAATATTGCCCCTTTTTCCTCTCTCTCTCTCTCTCTCTCTCTCTCTCTCTCTCTCTCTGAAATAAGTAGGGTATGGGTAGATCTGATCTGACAGTCATGGTCTCCATTGATATAAATGTCTATTTTTTGTTGTCAAAATCAACCACCATAGGTGTTTCCTGTAAGAGACGTGACATTAACAGATAGCCCCTGTGTTTGTGTCACCTGAAGTGCAGGGACTGAAGGACAGGAAGTAGTCAATCGCTTTTTGCTTGTAAGCACCCCAAGAGGAAGTTAGGTAAAAGATTGCAATAATTTCTCTCTCTTCTAGTCCTGGGGAAAATAATGCTGTTTCAGGATCACCAAGGTAAAACGAGATCAATCCAAATGACAGCACCACTCGCTTGGCTTAGTTTTACAACAATCTCTTTCGCAAGTTGTTCCTGAACAAGATATTTCCCGTTTATGTATTCAGTCACTCATTTTCAGTTTGAGGATTTGGTAAATCAAATATGCTGTTATCTCTGAAAAAAATGAGATCTTTGTTGGGGAGAGAGCTGTTTTAAGATTTAATTCGTATGTTGTATATCTACACACTCTTCAAGGAAGGCTGCCCTTGTTAGCACTGAGAATTCCCATTTCTTCTTTGGTTATCTGAAGCTAATTAGAGCTGGTGGATTTTGCAGAAGTGATCAATAGTTTTCATAGTGGATCACACTGAATCAGACCCATATGCAATTAGCCCAGTACAGATACTCAGAGATACCTTAATTAAAACAAAATATATTCTGTAAGAGATATGCTCTCATAGATGACTGCTGTTTCAAATGTGAGTCACTTTGAATAAATACATTCAATGTGTTTATTCAAAGTAAGAGTCTTCATGGAACTTTTCACTGATCAAATATAGTTGGGTGTTTGATGCATTTACCTTGAAAGCATTCTCAGGTAAAACAATGTTGGTACTGAGTATTATACATCCGTGTTTATTAACATTTGGGTATAAATATATTTCAAACACCAAAACAGCCCAAAGAGTAGGCCTTTCCCTTGGATTTCGCAGACTTCTCCTCCCCCAGGGATCTGTTGAATCTTCCAAGACAGAAGCTCAGCCAGCAAAGAGATCGGTATGAAATGTACACCAGGGGTCTCCCCCTCTGGGCCTCTGCAGCGTGGGAGGAAACCTCATGCTTCCAGCACCCTATGGAGGAAGAACCTACTCTTCGTTCAGTGTGAGAGAAACTAGTATGTGATGATTGCAGATTCTGAATCTCGCCCTCTAAACCAGACTTCAAAAGTGCACGTGAGCGTCTGCGTGCTGGGGGAAGAGAACACAGGGAGAGCACGTGCAGCTGGCAAAGCCGGCTGCCTTATCACACAGCCCTGCCCTGTTCCGTGTGCCTGCGCCAACCAACTCGCCTCCCCAGCCGTCACACCAACCCTCTCAACCCACCAACCTTCTTTCCTTTCTGCGTAGTCAGCCGCAGTCTGTCAGGGAAGAACAGAACAAGGTGCAAGCTGATTCCCGATGACCCGCACACCAAACTGCTCTCAACAGCAGTCAAGAGGTCACAGCTGGGAGTAAAGACAATCCTCAGGAAAACAACTGTGCACCTGGGCATGGATGGAACGAGAGGGCGGCACATCTCCATCTCCCATCCCCATCAAAGCTGCCTCTGTCAGAAACCATTAGCTCCAAGATACCAGGTTGTGTCAGCTGGCAAAGGTGCCAAGAGAGGCTGTGTGCCATCACAAGTGGCCCCTGGCTCCCTCCCACATATGCTCACTTGCATTTCCAGACATAGCAAAAGACAACTCAGGCCGTTCTGTTTCCTCCTGCCCGTTCACAGCCACATGGCGCAAAGCGTCCCGCTAAGCATAGGGCTCCTCAGCGTCTACTTTTGCAGAGCTGTATTTGTGAAGTTAATTTCGGAGCTAACACAACTTCTGAGAGGAGCACAAGCTCCACGTATTTCATATTAAACCATCAGTAAAAAATGAAGATATTGTTACTTTCAAAATATAGAAAGCCAATAGCTGAAATCGTTGAGTAGTAAAATTTCTTTTCTACATATAACCTCGTAAATGTAAAGAGTAGTAGAGTGTTGCTTCGGCTATATTTGACTCTGGTTAGCTTAAGGGCTTCTCACTCAGGTAAGGCGTAGGAGAGTATCAACCAATGAGGAAGGTACTGCAAGGGTTCACATCCACTCTCCCTATTTTGACTAAAAGATTATACATTTGGATGTGACAGGTGTCTCATTTTGTATGACAGCATGGAACCGTTTATAATACACAAACAGTGCGCAAGATGCTAGTATGTACAGAAAGATGAATATCAGTACAAGTTGTTTTCCACAGTATCCACTCTGGATGAGAACTTTCACTTTGTGGCCTAAGAGCTTGTCATCCATGTTAGGTTGTAGTTTATGTCATTAGAAATTGAAGCCACTACATGAGATATGGAAGGATCTTTAAAAATACTAACTCCTTTTCCATTTAGTAAAGGCCAGAGTTAAAACTGTTAAAATCACCATCATCATCATCATCATCATCATCAAAAACATGGCCCCAGTTTACTTTGCAGTCAAGTTTACAAACTGTCCCCTTAAAATACAGCATGCCCCAAGCAAAGCCTTTTGAGTCTGGAATGTAGCACTGCCTCAGGTTTTCCACAGACGCCCCTAAGGATCACAAGAAGCTCTCTTTAAACAAAAAAAAGTTCCAGTTGGATGAAACTGCTTCTCCACTGAGCTCCTAGAACTGGATTTTCAGATATACAAGAGGATAGGAAACAGGTAACTTCATTTTTTTGTCTTTTTACATGTCCATGTTGTTTTTTTTTTGTTTTTTGTTTTTAACGCAGCTACGATGTTTCTGCCAAAGATAACGATAGTAGGGTAGACAGAGCGGTGACCACCAGAACCAGCAGTGGGCTCAGGCCGCAGCTTGAAAGCGCAGCCATCGATTTTGTGGTTATGCGGCTGGAAGCACCAGCGAGCTCATCCTTTTCATAATTGCTCTGTAAGAAAAAGGTTTCGTTACCACCCACTGCAGTGCCCATGCCCTCCCAGCACACTGTAATCACACGCTTTCTCTCTACGGTCCCCCTGGCTGAGCCCTCGCTGAAGCTGACCCTAGATTGCACTGCTGAGCCTACGACCTGCTGACCTCTCGTTTTATGAGAAGGAACCTTGAGCTCGGGTGAGACCGGAGACTTGGGATATACCGTCTACCCCATGTTTATTGCTTGCTCCTCCATAATGGATTGTTACAACCCATTTTGGGGGAAAATATTTCAGTTTTTATACCCTTGCCCTTCTTCTCCTTTCCACAGTTCACCCTGTGTAACATGGAGCCTCTCTCCCTCCAGGGAGCTCTGGCTGAGCAGGGATGCTCACTGTCTCTCTCTGCCATGGAGGGAGGGCATGAGTTTGGTAGCAGTGGGCATAGTAATGTCCCACAACTAGCACTGGAGGTGGAAAGAGCAGGCAGGAATCTACATTTTTGAGATGAGGAACAGACAGGGCAAGGAGCTTGTGCAGCTCCTCGGAGGGATAGCCCAGTCCAGAACCCAGGCATCAGGGCTCCCCGACACAAGGACTCCTTCGTCTTATCACAATGCCAGCTCAGCCTCGTAATGTCACATCCCTACCCAGTGAGATAGGACTGTCACACAAAACAGAACTGCTCCTCTCTCCTTACCTATAATTTGAGGAGAGCAATGGATTTGTGCTATCTACCTCTGGAGATGGCTGTGCAGGTCAGAGGAGCTGAAGGCAGAGGACCTGCAGTAAGCAGGGGAAGCATCAGGCCTCGTCTCTGTGCTGGACAGAGTGGCCTGACCGTGCCCACAGATTCCCAGCATCAGAACAGCAGCCCTGGTGCTGGGGTTGGTTGTCAGGTGATGCTCCCAGGTACCAGATTAATTATAACCCTGTGCCCTGAATCCAAGGGCGGATGAACAGAGAGGGTAGCTTACATGTTTTTTTCCTGGACCTGAAAGCTTACTGCCTTTGAGCCTTGTATATCATCTCTTGCCCCAGGGCCCAAAGGTTGTCTCTAAAAATGCAGGGATACCCAGAAAGAAATGTCACTTACATCAGAAAGACAGAGCTGTGTGCTGTCCGACACATTAGATTTCAGCTTCTGTGCCTGGAAAGAGAAAAGGGAAGAAAAGTAAAAAATAATAGGGAAGAGTAATTACTGATGATCCATTAATCAATAGTCTAGGGCACTGCCATCTAATAAATAAGTGCGCCACACATGTGAGCCCCACGTGTAATTTACAATATTCTAGTGGCCGCCTAATAAAGAGGTAACAGGTGAAGTTAATGTAATAATATATTTTAACCCACTCTATTACCATTGCAACACATAATCAATATAAAAAATTAACGAGATACTTTACATTACTTTTTCATACTGCATCTTCAAAGTCTGGTGTTTGACAAGGTGCATCCATTCAACCCTGCCTCATGTCCAGTCTCAGCGGCCACCTAACATTAATGACTGCTTCAGGGGTGGTGCAGACAGCACTGGGTTACCGAAGAAAAAGTTTGGGAGTGGCCTTCCTCCCTTCCTTCCACACTGGTGATTGAACCCAGTGGAACTCTACCACTGAGCAATATCTCCAGCCCTCTTTATTTGGAGACAGGATCTCACTAAATTGCCCAGGTGGGACTCACACTTGAGATCTTCCTGCTTCAGCCTCCCATAGTATAGGCATTATAGGCATGTGCCTCCTTGCCTAGTTCCCTTGTGTTTCTGTATGTTAATTTGGGGAAATGCCTCCAAAACTTAAGAATACTGCAATGAAAATATCCATTTATTAGTAAGATAGGAGAGGTCTTCTGGAAGCTTGTCTGTTTGTTCATCTGTTTATTCACTGCGCTAGTCAACAGATACTACTGAGCCCCCAATATTTTCTAGGGCTGGGCACAGGGTGGTGAAGAGAAAGAACATGCTTCCAGATTCTTTCAGATGGGACCCTCAAGGAATCTTACATAGCACTGCAGATCCCAATCCAGCTGTTTTAAGGCTGCTTCCAGGGCAGCTGTGGGGAGGCTGGGCTGTGGAGGCTTTAAGGCTCCCATTTCCCCTCACCCAGACGAACTTCCCACTAGGCTTCTGCCTCAGAACTGAGTGGAAGGAAAGGTCCCATTGCTCAAATAATGGCAGAGAAAACATTTGCGAACACTACCCACCCCACACAAGGCAGAACAGTTAGATGCCACAGCGGTGAAGAGACTCATCAGAGGTCACACAGTAATTTTCTTCTAAAGTCAGGATCGGTCAATGCTCCTCAACTCTTGGGTGGAAAGATGCTCCTTCCTGGATTATGCTATTTCTCCCAGTCTCTACCCTCCTCAAACGGCACAGACATAACATCTCTACCCATGATGCCAAGCTCCAGATCCCAGCAGTAAATAACAGCCTTTGGCACCAAAATACAGAGAGCTCATTTGCCAGCAAGATGTGCCCTGGTTAAGCATCACACCTGAACCAAGGGGTATCCGACTGCGCGGCACTGGCGGGTGCTGGCAGGCTGATCATCTGTAGCAAGACTTCTGCAGCTTGCTTAAGTCATGCTAGGCTTCAATGATAGCATTTGCACCCAAGGAGTAATTTATTGACCATAATGCCACTTAGAAAGCATCATAATCTTTGCCTATATTTGCATATGCCAGCTGTGAATATGAAATAGAAACCTTTAAACAGGCTTCAAGAATAAGACACTAGGAAGCAGCCCAGGGCTGTTCAAAGGTCACTAAATGTTATGTATAAGAATATCAAGAGGGGAAACTGGGAGGGGGATTCTACCTCACTCAGGAGCCGACTTTTAATCTATATCCATAGCAAATCTGGTCCATTATATTGTTCCTTGAGAATATGCACAGAATTTAACATTTTTATTCCCATTCACGATTGGATTTGTGCCTAGAGACCAAAATGACCCTAACGCCTCTCATCCTGCTTTCTTTTTCAGGCCATATTCTGCAAAACATGGAAACCCTTGCTAAATGCCTTTGCATAAGCACCCTGCTCACCAAATTGCACAGAGAAGGCAGCGTGACCTCTAGACGGAGGCACGCTGTCCCCTCCAGTTGTTCCTGAGCCCACAGTCACGGTTAAGTGGCACCCTGTGCCCTGGGCCACAGTGCCCTCTGCGAGGACTCAGGTGGGCACATCTCCTCCCACTTCATTCTGTAGGAGCAGCGCCAGTGGACTGATTTTCTCCTGATGCACACAACCTGTAACTCTCGCCAGCTGTATTTTTCTGTCACTTCAGGAGCTTGAGGCAGCACTAGGGGAATGTCCTCCTAATGGACTGATTGTGAAGGGGCCTCCAGCAGGAAACCAGAAATGCCTCTCTCTTCATGGATGTTCTTAAGCACATTCAGTCTTCAGAGGCAGATCTCTGTTCCCGCATTAGTCCCTGAGGGCTTCCCACTGTGTACGGCACTCATGAACCTACAAGCACGGGCCCACGTCTAACCTGCCACCTCATGCTCTCCCTCTGGGAGTGGCTGCAGTGACCATACAGGAAAATGCATGTGGACCAGCTCCTATTCCGTGCAGTGGGCCCGTGTTCCCCCAGAAGAGCCATCACATTGACTCCAACAGTCAACATCTGGCCTTGTCTCCCTGTAGTGTCACCGGCTTGACCACAGGGGGAGGCAGAAGCCCCTGGCTTACTTGGCCTGGAGGACGTGCTGGCTGGCAGAACAGCAGGAAGGCCAAGCGCAGGTGAGAATGTGCAGCCAGGCCACAGGGAGGCTGGGGAAAACCTCCCTTCTGTCCCACACTGCCCCACCCACAGCTCTGGGAGGCTTGGAACTCCATGCCCAGGGCTCTCCACACTCTGCTTCCAGAGACCATTGCAAAGCTTCCTACAGAGAGCTCTGGTGTCCCGGAAACCGCCATGACCTCAGAGGCAGGATGAGCAGAGCGGTCCTGGGCGCCACCTGAACACAGAGGAAAACATCATAAGGTTGGTGCATCTAAGTAGAAGGTGAAAGGAAAATGGTCCCGGAGACCCGACTGGCAGGTGGCACATAAGTAAAAGAATCAAAGGGCTGCACATAGATGTGAGACCTTTTAAAATTCCTTACGAAACAAGATGCAGGCCAGAGTGACTCTGCTGCCTGGGCGGGAAGGTGTTAAGAACACTGCCCAGTGCCCCAGGCTGTGCGCCCGCCGTGGATGAAGGGGCAGGCCTGGGCTTGGAGCTGCATCTGGCCGGCTGGCAGCATGCTTAGGAGTATCACAGGCAGCATGAAGCCTCGGTCACCATGTGTTAGAAACCCAGCTCTTCAGACCCACAGTCTACCTAAGAAGACCTCAGTTTTAAAGGCTACTTTCAAAACCCCGTGAAACCTGTTATTTCCACATCTTAAAGGCTTTTATCCTGACTTATTCTGCAAACACCATGATGCCCTGCTCATCAGGTACGGTAAATGCAAACAGATAAAATTATAGGACATCCTCCCTTCAACTACTGCGGAGAGTACTTCTATGCTTGAAAGGCTGTTTCATTTGCTGAAAATTAGGATGGTCTCGGGAAAATTAAAATTAAGAGAAAAGAAACTTTTGAGACTTGGTAAAGGGTAAGGTAAGTTAGAAACCAGAACAGCAGCCTTCATCACTGAGTTGTAAGGCAGTGAGACCCAGGGTGTGTTAATGGATGTGCTGGCACAGGGCACAGTGTCCTTTCTGTGAGCCCTGCAACCCTGCCAATGGCGGGACATGCAAGGACACAACTTAGAGCAGGGACAAAACCTGGAGCCAGGCCAACCATACCTACCTGGACAGACAGCTTATGGTCTGTAGTTTTTTAAAAAGTCTCTTTTGAAAAAAGATAAAGAACATATTCCATTTTTGTAAGAGTCAACTTGAATCGCCGTTTTAGTATACTGAGAAGATGAAGTGTTTAATCTCTCTTATGAAGGAGTGCTTCTGAGCAGCTAATTTATAGTTGTGTGGTCTGAAGGAAGTGCCTGACTCTGCAATGGGGAGACGTCACCACCAAGACACAGGGCCTTGAGGCCCGCATCTTGAGAATAGAAAAATGAAAGTCATCTGGAGAAGAATGTGCCCACAGAAGCTGTCCCCACGTTCTGGGAAACCAGGGAACGCTGTTCTCTAGGCTCTTCCTAAATCTTGCCCCTCTAGCAGCTGTTGCTCTTCTGCTATAAAATTGTCACTGGTAATAATCCACAAGTCCAGGCATGTCACATAATAGAATTTCCAGGGCACTGTAATTGTGAGACCAGACCCCGCCAGTCCCTGGCAGCAGAGGGTTAATAAATGCATTAGACGCTGTTAACCTCTGTTACCTGGAGTCAGAGTGGAGCCTCTCCTGCCTTTTACCCAAGTGATTAGCATGTGGAAAGCCAGTTGCGGTGCCAACGGCGTTCCCGTGCAGAACACACAGGCACACACATAATTTACGGCCCACAGTCAGGTCCCCACTGGGTTCTGCCTACAGTGGGCTCTCCAGATCCTTGGGGACAGGTCAGGCTTGTGAGCAGCAAGCTTCCTCTGTTTATGGAATTGGAAAGTTAAAAGCACGCCCGCTCAGAGCCTGGCCTTTCCTGCCCCAGGACTCCATTTCTGTAGAGAAGCCAGTGTTTAATCTCAGGTTTTTAGGCAGCTGTCAGCCAGCAGGGCGTAGAACATTTTTCTGCTCTCCTCCATGCAAAAGAAAAGCTGTTTTCTGCCCTATCTCCAGAAAATAAAACCAGAGGAAGCTGTACAATCCAATAGCAGCAGACTGTCCAGGCTACAGCCAAATAGTCATAATTAATGATGCTCTGGTTCTTTTCTCCCTTGCTTTACTGATTAGAGAGATTTGCTATATTAGGAACCTGTTTGCTTAATGACAGAATACAAGCAATAAACAGAGAAATACACAGACTGTAAAATGCAATCAACTTTGCTCTCCAGCACTCACTAAGTACCTCGCTGCATCTATCACACTTGTCAATATCAGTTTATTAGCATATGAGTCTCTTCTCCAGCATAAATTGGACTTTTTCTACGGGAAACAATCCATGAGTTCTTTTGGAAATAGTTTGGAATCAAAAGTCCAGAACCTGAAACCATTTTTCACTTTAAATATGCATGTCTTGTCTCCTTGTAAGATAAAACAA